ACTACACCCGGCTGATTTTTTGATTTATTGTAGAGATGAGGTCTCGCTGCCCAGGCGGATCTCGAACCCGCGGGCTCAGGCAATCCACTCACCTCAGCCTCCCAAAGGCACGGGATTACAGGCTGAGCCACCGAGCCCGGCCAGGAAAGATATTTAAAGAGAGCTGGAACTAGAATATTTCTTTCACTCTCATACCTTTGTACAGCTGTGTGTCACCCAGCCTCTAGGAGATACTTGGCACATATCAGACATCCAATAAGTGGCTGATTGATAGCACAGAATCCTATGCACCAGTTCATTTTCTGATGTGTTATTTATCTGAATATGTAGAATTTCAATTGAATTGTTCATATTCTGACTCTCTATATAATCCATTCATGAACTGCCATACTGTTTTCCACAGGAGCTGCACCACTTTATATTCTAGGACTTCTGTCATCATGACATCAATTCTCAGACATTAACTTTTGCACAGATACTGTTATTGTTAACATACCTCCTGTTTTCTAGTCAGCTCTTCTCAGCTTTATTTGACTTTGATTTTGATTGTTAATAGTAGTGTAGGAAGTGGTTGCTTCTGGGGAATCCTGTGGTTAGAGTAAACAAGTTCTTGATTTGCCCAAGACTGTACTAGTTTTAGCACTGATTGTTTTGTGTTCTGAAATTAGGAACCTCCCATCTCAGGATAACTAGGACGGTCAGTCAACCTATCCATGGTTGGGAGATTGAAGGATATGAATGACTTGGCACTTACTGTTTAAACTACAGCCCACCCACCAACTCCATTTGAAGAGTACTGAGAATGCTATAATTAGTTGGTTGCAAACAGATGTACTGAGCAATAATTGGAGGGTTAAAAATGTGGTTTATTCTAGATGAATCCACATTGTCAAAGAAGACCAGTAGGGAGGGATTAGCATAGATACATGGAAGGTCAGCATATAGCAGATTAAAAGTTTAAAATGCTATCTTTCATAGAACACCTGGGATATTTTATCTGCTTGAATACTGTAAAATAGGAATCAATGTAAGGCTGTTATATATTCACACATCAGAGTGATAATATCATGGGGAATTAACAAATTGTTTTGCCATGTAATGACTTTTTTCTTCCTATGGAATGGAAAATATTTAAAAATGTGTAGCATTGTCCCTAAAGAAGTGATACCACAAATCACAGCTTCTTTTTAGTTAATACAGACAAGGTCACAAAAAGTATACATATTTTAAGAAAGAAAAAACTGTGTTAAAATTGTAATACTCAATATATACCAAAAAACAAAGGATAAATACAAGTCACATTTGACTTCTGCCATTACAAGACGTGCTCAAAGTGGTTACCAACAGTGCCCAGACACCTCTGATTATAGCAAACTAAAAATAATACATAGATGACATCTCTTAAAATGTTTGCATGTTTTTTGGCACCCTGGCATATCTACATTTTAGGGTTAAAATAGAATAAATAACATATGCAAACCATAGGCCTTTATTTAAAGATTCACCAAATCTTTTGTTTTTCTCCACTGCTCTCCTTTCTATTTAGGGAATAATTTGACCTTTTATTTATGGCCTTTAAACTTGCCTCTTGCAATAGCTAATATAGTTAAATCCCAGGTAATCAACCCCAGAAAATAAACATGCTCCAACTCACATATCTGGAGTGGGACAGCTCAAAATTATTTGAAGAAAGTCACCTGTTCACTCTGGCCATCCCCTATGTAAATGAGCACTGGCAGCTCTTGATGAATTGAATTTTACATTTCCCTGTGACTAAAATAATAAATGTGTAGTCTCACTCAGAGAGGGGATAGTCATCTTTAATTTGAAATATATCTAGTTATGTTTCCAAATGTCTAATTTCAAATGAATTTGTTGCTACAGAATTATCATTGAGAAGTAGAAAAGGGTGTTTTTTTGAAATACAGTTTATATCAATGTCAAATGTCATTCAGTTTTATCGGCACCTAAAAAGTTATGTTAAACTTCAAAGCAGTATATAGCTAATAAATGTTCATCATCAGTTTGTGACTAAACTGTATGTGATAGGCAGAATAATGTCCCTCATTGATGTCTTCATCCTAATCCCCAGAACATGTGACTATGTTATATTGCATGGCAAGGGGGAATTCAGGTTGCAAATGGAATAAAGTTTGCTAATCAGCTGATGTCAAAACAGAGAGAGTAGCCTTGATTATCCAAGTGGGCTTAATGTAATCACAAGGGACCTTAAAAATGGAAAAGGGAGGCAGGAGAGTCAAAGAGAGATGTGACTACTTAAGAATAGTCAGAAAGATGCGATCTCATGACCTCACTGGCTTTGAAGATGGAGGAAGGGGGCCATGAGCTAAGGAATGTGTGTGGCCTCTAAAAGCTGGAAAAGAAAAGAAAAAGGATCCTTTTATAGAGCTTCCAGGAGGAAATGCAGCTCCAATGACACCTTGATTTTATCCTAGTGACACTCAGGTCAGTATTCTGGCCTGTAAAACTGTAAAATAATAAACCCATGTTGTTTGAAGTCATTATGTTTGTGGTAATTTGCTGCCCGGCAATAGAAAACTAATGCATTATATAAATTGACATTCCCTTCCTTTGTTACTCAATCTTTATGCCTTGATTTGAAACCTTCTTGAGGACATAATTTATAAATTCAACAAACAGTTAATGACTATACAAATTTTAGATTCCAAATATGTGCCAGGCACTGTGTTAGGAGGCTACATTGGTGAATTCTACTAAATATTTAAAGAAGGCTTAACACCAATTGTTCTCAAATTCTTCTAAAAGATAGAAAAGGAGCCGGGCTCGGTGGCTCAGCCTGTAATCTCGCGCCTTTGGGAGGCTGAGGTGAGTGGATGGCCTGAGCCCGCGGGTTCGAGACCCACCCGGGCAGCGAGACCTCATCTCTACAATAAATCAAAAAATCAGCCGGGCGTGGTAGCGCACGCCTGTAGTTCCGGCTACTCGGAAGGCTGAGGCGGAAGGATCGCCGGAGCCCGGTAGGTCGAGGCTGTGGTGGCCAGGAGCGGACACTGCACTCCAGTCTGGGCGACCGAGTGAGACTCCAACTCAAAAAAACAAAACAAAACAAAACAAAAAAGATAGAAAAGGAGAGTAAACTTCCTAACTTATACTATGAGGCCAGCATTACCTTGATATCAAAGTCAGAAAAATACATCACAAGAAAAGTACATTACAGGCCAATTACATACTATTGAATATTATGATTATAATATTCCCTTATGAATATAGATGCAAAAAATTTCAAGCAAACCAAATTCACCAGCGTGTTATAATGGCTATATTCCATGCTCAAATAGAAATTATCCCAGTTATGCAAGGGTGGTTGGACATAAGAAAATCAATTAGCCCACACCACATTAATAAAATATAGGGGAAAACCCCACAAGTTCATCTCAATTAATGAATAAAAATCATTTAATAAAATTGTACATACTTCCATGATAAAAGCACTCAACAAACTACAAATAGAAGGAAAACCCCACAACACGATAAAGGAAGTTTATAAAATACCTACAACTAATGTCATAATCATAAACAGAAGACTGAAAGGTTTTCCCAAAACATTAGAAACAAAACAAGAAGGCTTGACTTTGCTACTTCTATTTAAATTGTACTGGAAGTCCTTGCTAGGGAAATTAGGAAAGAAAATGAAATAAAAGATATTCAAATTGGAAAAGAAGAAGTAAAACTGTCTTATTTTCAGAAGACATGAACTTATATGAAGAAAACCTCAAAGTTTCTACAAAAACACTATGAGAGCTAATAAGGGAACTCAGCAAAGTTGCAGAATGTAACATCAACACCCAAAAGTCAGCTGTATTTCTATATACTAGCAAACAACAATCTGAAATAAAATTAAGAATATATTTCTATTTAAAGTGGCACCAAACAGAATAAAATACTTAGAAATAAATTTAACAAAGGATGTGCCAGACTTATATGCTGAAAATTACAAAATATTACTGAAAGGTATATAAGATGACACAAAAAGAAATAGAAAGAAATATCGTGTTCATGTATCTGAAGACAATATTTTTAAAATGATAATACTACCCAAAATCATCTAACGTATTATTGTAATCCCCATCAAATTCTCAATGGCCCCCCCCTTTTTTTTTTAGTAGAAATGAAAAAGGCAGTCTTTTTTTTTTTTTTTTGAGTTGGAGTCTCACTCTGTCGCCCAGACCGGAGTGCAGGGGCCGCTCCCGGCCACCGCAGCCTCGACCTGCCGGGCTCCGGCGATTCTTCCGCCTCAGCCTTCCGAGTAGCCGGAACTACAGACGCGCGCTTCCACGCCCGGCTGATTTTTTGATTTATGGTAGAGATGAGGTCTCGCCAAGTTGCCCAGGCGGGTCTCGAACCCGCGGGCTCAGGCAATCCTCTCACCTCAGCCTCCCAAAGCATGGGATTACAAGCTGAGCCACCGAGCCCGGCGAAAAAGGCAGTCTTCGCATTCATATGTAATTGCAAGAGACCTCGCATAGCAAAAATAATCTTGAAAAAGAAGAACAAGTCTGAGGACTCAATTCCCAAATTCAAAACACAGCATAAGTCTACAGTTATCAACACTTTTTGGTATTGGTATAAGGATAGACATATAGATTAATGGAACAGAATTAAGAGTTCATGAGTAAACCCATAAATCTTTTCTTGGGTACATACCTCAAATACAGATCATCCTCAACTTACGATGGTTTCACGTACAATTTTTTAACCTATGATGGTGCGAAAGGAATGTACATTCAGGAGAAACCTTCCTTTGAGTAACCCCCTCCCGGGCCACTGGGAGGGCAGTAACATCACCGGACATGCGCATGCGTCTAGCCGGCTCCCCAACCAATGAGAGGCTAGTCCGTAGTCACTAGGATACCGAATACTGGTCGAGTACCGACATTTTTTGAGAGGGGGTGGTGGCGTCGAGCTAGGCCAAGCCAGCGAGAAAGCTAACAGATCGCAACTAGTGTCCAGCATCCAGCATGCCTGATACAAGGAACCGTCGAGGGTCGTCATCCAGAGGTCAGAGGCAGATCCGCTCCCGCACCGCCCGAGCTGAGTTGATTTTCTCCGTTAGCTACGTGGAGCACCTCCTGCGAGAAGGCCGCTACGCCCAGCGCCTGGGTTGGTCTGCGCCCCTGTACCTGGCTGCTGTCATCGAGTTCCTGACGGCGAGGGTCCTGGAGCTGGCGGGCAACGAGGCCCAGAACAACGGCAGGAATCGCATCACCCCGGATCTCGTGGATATGGCCGTCTACAACGACCCGCTGCTCAGCATCATCTTTGGGACTACCACCATCTCCCAGGTTGTCACGACTCGGGACTAGTTGCTGATGCCTGGCTCTTGGGGCCTAGTCCATATCTCCAAAGGCCCCATCTGGCCGGCTGGGCCGTTAACAGCCAGCCGGTTAGACAGCCCTGGCCTGCCTTGGCCCTTCATTGAGTTGTCATTAAAGTGTTTAAAGAAACCCACTTGTATGCTTCAGTCACTTCGCATTGGAGGAGGGGTCTGGGATGGGGGTGGCTAAAAGTCAGAGATGTCACAGGGGAGAAGTCTCTTCTGGTGACGATTGCGGGGATAACCCTGGGTGGGAGGGGCGGGTTGGGATTGGGGTACAGAAGACCTCTTTTGGCTCTGAACAATCCAGGGCCTGCCTGGGGAAGTCCCCATGACTGTGGTGTTGGTTGGGGTGGGTGGATCTCAGGGCAAGCCCTGCGGCATCCCTGCGAAGGGATGAATGCATCTGGGAAACCAGGGTGTACGTGGATCTGTGAACAGGGCAGTAGGCACAGGCTCCAGTGGGGCAGGGGAGATGGAGGAATGATGGTGGGAACAATCCAGAAATAGACAAACATGGAATTAGAGTCACAGGTTTAGTTTTGGTCATGACCAGTAGAGGCTGAGACACCCTCAACAACCAAGATTATAACTAGCAAGAGCTGTCACCTGAGCAGGCCTTGTGTGCCAGCCCAAGACCCTCCATTTGCTTCCAGAGTCATATTCAGGCCAGGCCCTGCCCTGAGACCCTAGGTTTGTATACAACCCTCGCTGTCTGACCAAGCCCCGTCCCCAGGCCTTTGATTTGCACACTCCTCTGGTAGCTCGACTAGTCTCCTCCTTGTGTCCACCTCTGTGCCTATCATCAGGGCAACAGGCAGGTTCCTGCTTCAGAGTGGTTAAGTTGGATGGCAGACTCCAAAGTGATGCATGGCATGTCTAAGCGGTGCCCTGTTACCACATCTTCCAGCTAGCTTGGCCTGTCAGGAAGTGATCGAGGTGGCGGATGTGGGAGCAGCTGGACTTGCCGGCCATGCGAAACCGGGGCAGGATGCTGGGGACTTCTTGGGCCGGTACCAACTGGTATCAAACAAGTTGAAGAAGCGGTTCTTGTGGAAGCCAAACGTGGCAGAGACCGGCGAACACTTCAGGCAGCTGGCACTGAGGTGCACCCCAGGGGGTGCCTGCCATAGACGGCCTGGTGCCAACTGACAGTGGCGTGCTACCAGCAGGCACTTTCCCACGGGCCCGGGGAGGCAATGGACCTCCCCAAGGGCTCCAGCCTCTTCTTGTGGCAGGAGCGCGATGCACGCCAGTGCCTGGTCTGGCCTGCCGCCCAAGGGGTGTTGCTGCAAGCCGCCGCCATCACGTTGAGCCGGGCCAGCCCGGAAGTCCAGCTGGACCTGGTGACACGCGACTACAACAGCCCCTGCAGCAGGAACACAGCAGCCACCCTGTGCAGCCACTGCAACCTCCAGGGTCCCAGACCCGATTTGGCAGCCTGCTCTGTGGCGCTCTCTCCCCCCTCCCTGGGTACCTTCTGGACACGCTGGTCCACAGCGGGGTGTCCCACTTGAGGGTGCTGCTCCTCATGCAGCCACCGCGGTGGCCATCTTGGATCCCCAAACCGCGTTCCATTTTAAAAGTTCCTAAGGTTTTTTTGGCCCAAATGTTACAGCAAGCCAAGGTAGCTGTTTCTTATTTAGTCCTTTTTACACTTTTGAGAGTGTTCATACAAACTCGTTCTTGCCGGGCTCGGTGGCACAGCCTGTAATCCCGCGCCTTGTGAGGCTGAGGTGAGTGGATTGCCCGAGCCCGCGGGTTTGAGACCCGCCTGGGCAACTTGGCGAGCCCTCATCTCTACCATAAATAAAAAATTAGCTGGGCGTGGTAGTGCGTGCCTGTAGTTTCAGTTACTCGGAAGGCTGAGGCGGAAGGATCACCGGAGCCCAGCAGGCGAGGCTGCGGTGGCCGGGTGCGGCCACTGCACTCCAGTCTGGGTGACAGAGTGAGACTCCGACTCAAAAAAAAAAAAGAAACTCGTTCTCGGAATTTGTGGGGTGGGGGGGAGGAGAAACTCTCAAACGTTCAACTTGGGGAAATGCCTCCTGTAGGCTGAAGTTGTACACAATATTCATTGTTCAGGCTGAGATTTAAGGACATATTTTGGGGGTAGATGTTTTTGTTTTGTGTTTTTTCCGGAGGCGGGGGAAGCAACAGGGAGGGTTGTCATTGTGAGTTAAGTGCCTCAAAATCGTGGGATGTTTAGGGTGTTTTCTTCTGCTTCTAATTATTTTTCAACTATGTGGAAGTAATGGGAAAGCCCATTTAAGACAGAACCAGCCACCATTCCTCTGCTCTCACTTGGCTGCTAGGAAGGAACCAATGGAGCCCTAAAATCCTAGCCCAACTTATTGTAAAAGTCATAAAAGTGCATGCTCCTTTCCTCTTTGGATTTTTGTTTTTGGTATGCTCCTCTCAGCCCAGGCTTCAGGGCCTGGCTGACTGATTATTCCCATGTTTAGAAGTTGTGGAGTGGCATGACTGGCCTGTGGCCTAAACTCGATGCAGGAGGTAAGGGGAAGGATAACCAGAGAGTCAGGTATTAGGTATATAAGCATAACTCTAGAAACACTACAACTCCTGATTTTCGATTTGCCATTGGCTCATTGATGTGTCTTCCTCAGAAATTTAATAGCAAAAATAACTGGCCAAGGCCAGATTCCCACATTTTTGACAAAGTTATCTTGTAATATGTCACTTTAACATTAAAATTAACATTGCTTTCTAACATGGCAAAGACAAATATTTAGCCGGGCTCGGTGGCTCAGCCTGTAATCCCGCACCTTTGGGAGGCTGAGGGGAGTGGATTGCCTGAGCCCGCAGGTTCAAGACCCGCCTGG